TTCACCATCCAAAAATGGTGTGGGACATTGATCAGCATGGAAAAAAACGATTCTCATTAGGTGCTTGGACAGATCACCTCCCAGTGATCGTCCCGGTGGGAAGTCCTATTTTTTTGATGTGTTGCATAATTCAACTACCCACAACGAGGCGATTTTTTTGACGTTTAAAGAATGGAACGTAACGATGGTGATGCGCTTGCGGCAAAACTGGGACGTGAACCGACCAAGACAATCCAGCAGGCTCTGTTACTAATGAAAGCAGGGATTTTACCTACAAACATCAAGACTGACTTCCCCTCCAGAAATTAATCAAACATGGCAATGGAAAATCACCATGTTTCTTAGGTAAATCGTTACTTTTCATCATGTTTATCTATTTCCAAAAAGGCCATCTACACCATAGCAAAGTGTCATCAAACAACCAGAGGGTAACACTTGGGGCATTGGCCGCCGGAACGATATGGATCTCAGCACGCGACGTGGAGCGGAGTTTGCCCGCTTGGGAGGAAGAAATCCACATCCTTCGGCAGCTGGGCTGCACTGGCGAAGACAATTTAGGCCCCATAAAAGGCCCCATGGCAACGCGGCTTGAGGTCCCCGAAAACAATCCTAACATCAAAATGCCCCGAAATCTGGCAGGTGGATAAAACCATCCCCATATGGATATCGGAGAGGCATTTCAGGTCCAAAAGACAAGGGATTTGGGACTTGTTTGGGTGCCCCACTTGCAGATCCAGACTTGATGTCGAGAAAACATCCGTAAACTCAGGTATTTTCACCACTACCACACTGTGGCGTGACATCCGGGCCTTAACCTTTGTTCTTGCCTTGACATCTGCGTTGGCCTGTGCCAGGCGTTCCCCTTTCTTTTCTGATTACGGATGTGTGTTGTCTTTGCGAAACAATTCACATGATGTTCTTGAAAAGTATCAAATCCCATTGTCTATCAACATGTTTTGTTGTTCGGAATCCCCATACCCACCGGTATTCTCCATTTCTTACAAATGCTGGTATAGATTAGTATAGTATATAAACAGTGTACATCTATCAGTATGTTTTTGTAGATTCCTTTTTTGTGTCATGTTACACGCCTGAGACCAATAACAATGGGGTGACGTAGCCCAGTTGTTGATCCTCCTTTCCAAGATCCAGTTGTAAATGTGAGAAACCAGTTGGACGACTTGTTACAGTAATCAGGGTTATGAACAACTGGGCTTAGATGGTCCATAAGGGGTGCATAACTTAATCAACAAGTTACTAATCAGGTTTTCATGTATGATGGTCCTCCAACTAGAGCCACTTAGAGCCCATGTCTAGATAAATTTTCAATCATCGGGGACTTCCGATCCTAGCGCGGCAAACCCGAAACCCTAAACCATTCTCTACTACCGCATAGTTAAACAATTTGGGGTTATGATATGTTATGATAAACCAGGGCCTAAAAAATGCAATGGGTTTACCACATGCAAAATAGGAATATTACTGCATCCATTTTCAGCCCCAAGCCTCGGACCGAATTCTGGAAGATGTCTATTCATGACAAAACTATTCCCCCCATCTTTCCCATCTTTTTTTGAGGTTCCCTACGTTTCAGAGGTTTGATGGTGATTTACTTTTCCATCTATTTTGGGATTACTATACCTATCACCATCCCCAACTGGATGGCTAGTTGCTGACCTTTTAAGTTCAGAGGTAGGTTTCACCACGGCACGTTTCACCCTCCGTTTCTATGCTAAGAACTCGCTCCGCCTTGAGCAAAGTTCGCACCAACTCGACGTCATCCAGCGCAGCGGCGTAGTGCAAACTGGTCCAAAATTCTCCGCCGCTGGGAAGCTTCTCCTGGACCAAACCCAGGGGAATCTGCGGAAACCCAGGCCTCAGCCATCCCTTTTAAATATATATATATATAGAGAGAGAGAGATAGAATAGAATAGAATAGAATAGAATAGAATAGAATAGAATAGAAATGAAATAGAATTAGAATTAGAATTAGAATTAGAATTAGAATTAGAATTAGAATTAGAATAGAATAGAATAGAATAGACTAGAATTAGAAGAGAAGAGAAGAGAAGAGAAGGGAAGAGAATAGAATAGAATAGATAGATAGATAGATGTGTATATATATAAATATATACCAGTAGTACCGCACAAGGCGGTGGCGGAAGTTTCAAAAATAGGAAACCTATAGTACTATAGGAGAGGTTGGTTGTTGTGAATCAGGGATGGCAAAGCGAAGCCACTGATGGACCGAAAGGTGCTTGATCTCTCTCTCTCTCTACCTACCTACCTATCTATCTAGCTGTCTAGTTTTCTAGCTATTCGTCTATCTATCCATCTATCCATCTATCTATCTATCTATCTATCTATCGATTTATCTATCAATCCGTCTACCTATCTATTTATCTATCCATCTATCTTTCTTTCTACCTATCTATCTACCAATCTATTTATCTATCTATCTATCTATCGATCGATCTATCTATCTATCGATCTATCTATCTCTCTCTCTTTCATCTAATTACATATGTATCTATCTATCTACCTATCTATCTATCTATCTATTTATTTATCTGTCTATGTGTCTATCTATCTGTCTATCTGTCTATGTATCTATCTATCTGTCTATCTGTCTATGTATCTATCTATCGATCTATCTATCGATCTATCTCTCTCTCTCTCTTTCATCTAATTACCTATCTATCTATCTATCTATTTATTTTTTATCTGTCTATGTGTCTATCTATCTGTCTACCTGTCTATCTCTCTATCTAACTATCTGTCTACCTATCTATCTATCTTTCTATCTATCTATCTGTCTGTCTAGCCATCTATCTATATCTATCTATCTCTCCGACTATCTATCGATAAAACCGTCTCTCTATCTATCTGTCTGTCTGTCTATCTGTCTATCTGTCTATCTGTCTATCTGTCTATCTGTCTATCTATCTATCTATCTATCTGTCGATGTACCTATCTATCTATCTATTTATCTATCTATCTCGGTATCTCACTATCTCTCTATGTGTCTTTGTATCTATCTGTCTATCTATCTATTTACCTATCTATCTGTCTATCCATCTATCTATTTATGTAGCTGTCTATCTATCTATTTGTCTATCTGTCTATCTGTCCATCTATCTATCTACCTATCTATCTATCTATCTGTCTATCTGTCTACCTGTCTATCTGTCTATCTGTCTATCTGTCTATCTGTCTCTCTGTCTATCTGTCTATCTGTCTATCTGTCTACCTGTCTATCTGTCCAACTATCTCTCTATCTATCTGTCTATCTCTCCAACTATCTATCGATAAAACTGTCTCTCTTTCTACCTGCTTATCTGTCTATCTGTCTATCTATCTGTCTATGTATCGATCTATTTTTTCTATCTATCTTAGTATCTAACTATCTGTCTATAAACCTATGTATCTGTCTATCTGTCCATCTATCTGTCTGTCTATCTGTACATCCATCTGTATATCTATTTATCTGTCTATCTATATGTCTATCCATCTATCTATCCATCTATCTATCTATCTGTCTATGTAACTATCAATCTATCAATCTATCTATCTGTCTATCTATCTATTTATCTATTGATCTATCTATCTATCTATCTATCTATCTATCTATCTATCTATCTATCTATCTATCTGCCTACCTATTTATCTATCTACCTATCTATCTATCTATCTCTGTCTGTTTGTCTGTCTATCCGTCTATCTGCCAGATTGAAAACGAAGCTCTTCTGCGAGACTTCATCATTTTTCGAACTTAACAACATCAAAAACAGAACAATTCTGCGACATTTCTTTTATTTTTCAACCTAACAACGTCCAAAACCGCAGCAATTCTGCGAGACGTCCTCAATGTTTGAACTTAACAACGTCAAAAACAAAGCAATTCTGCGAGACTTCCTTCAAAAATGGAAAGTTGAGTGCAGCGCTGGGAGCCTCGTACCAATGCGTTTTGCGATTTTTCCACTCCACCTGTGTAAAGTACTGCGCTTGCCTGCCACGAAAAATTGATGCCAGGTCATACGACGTGCTGCACCTGTCACGCAAAATCATCTCAGCAAACCTGAAGATCTGATACTCCAAAATGCAACCCCTCTCAGGAAATGAGCGGCCTGACCTCCGAACATCTCTGATGAACATGTCTTTTGTACTGCACCTGCCACGCGAAATGCATCTTTGAAAATCCTCTTCAAATGCCCCACACCTGCCATCGTTTCTGGAAATGCTGCAAAACCCTCACGTTTTGCTCACTTTTGACAAGGTGCACAATCCTTTGCGCCTGCCACGCAAAACGACATCTGAACCTCCAAAAGTGGCGCGAACATGTAGTGCTTTGTACATTTTCACTTCGAAATGTGCTTCGCGCCACAACGGCGTGCACTTTTTCGACATCGCAACTTCCAAAAGTGGTCCGACACTGAAGTGTTTTGTACATGTTCACTTCGAAATGTGCTTCGCGCCACAACGGTGTGCACTTTTTTGACATCTCAACTTCCAAAAGTGGTCCGAGAATGGTGTGCTTTGTACATTTTGACTTGGAAATGTGCTTCGTGCCACAACGGCGTGCACTTTTTCGACATCTGAACTTCCCAAAGTGGGTCCTACAATCTTGTGTGTTTTGTACATTTTGACTTGGAAATGTGCTTCGCGCCACAACGGCGTGCACTTTTTCGACATCTCAACTTCCAAAAGTGGTCCGACAATGGTGTGTTTTGTACATTTTGACTTGCAAATGTGCTTCGCGCCACAACGGCGTGCAATTTTTCATCTCTCATCTGGCCAGCTGGCTCCGCACCCGCCGCTTTAGCGAGCCTACTTTTCGACCCTCCGGAGCCCCAAACAATTGGAAAAACACAAAGTTTCGCGATGTTCCTACCTTTTCGCGCATCTGCATCTTCTTTTTTCTTACTCTTTCTCTTCTACCCTTCTTTCTTCTGATCTTTCTCTTCTCTCTGCCTCTTCCCTGCTCTGCTTTTCATCTGTCC